GAAAATGTGTGTTTCATTCCCTCCTCTGTGGGTAACATTTCTATGGGTCTTCAGTTTTCTAGGGGAATTATTTATTTCATAAATGTGAAAAAAAGATAATTTACCGGGGGAAATCCCAGGACAAAACTTTGAGGGCCAGGGACACATTAATACAAATAAAAAACCACCTCTTATTTTCTTGGCCCTATGGAAAATAGATAGAGGAAAACCAAGTTAAAGACAGTTACAAAACTCTAAAAGAAAAATCACAAGATCCCTGGAGATCATGGGATAGGGTTTTCAGCGTGTTTGCTTACAAGGTTGAAAGCAGGCAAAGTCTCACGTTGATTTATCGTTTGATTTCTTCAGAGTGTGCGTCACTTACAAACTTTGCCAATGCTTACGAAAACTGGAAGCCCAACAACTTGGATATACCAACAACCACAAGCAGCCTCCTCTCTACATCAAATATATTCCAAGAAAATAGAGGCGGCCATTACTGCTGAAAGTGCTATATGCACTCCATCACCAAAAATCCCTTTTAGTGTATGATTTTCCTCATCCTTCCTTTCTGTCCCAGAAAATGACTTTCTTTTCACTCTAGGTCTGACACCTCTCATTTATTCATCATCTGTGGCAGGCAGCATGCTAGTAGCTGGGGATCAGCAATAAACAGCCCAGAGAACAACGTTCCCTGCCCTTGTGGAGCTCACATCTTCATGGGGCGGTCAGACAGTACAAGCATAATAAGCAAATGAAACAAATGGCATTGGGCTAGTGGTAGGGAAGCCGTCCACAGGCCTGTGGGCAACAGCAGCAGAGGGAACCCCAGGAGCTCTCACTGGTTGTGCAGAGCCTTCTGTGGATGTACCCTTAGGCAGGGCTTGAAGGAAGAAGCAGAGCTGCCTGCGCAGAGGCAGAGGGGGAGTTCCAGGTTGCCATGAGGCCAAGGGTATGGACTGGAGTGGGGATGGACTGGAGTGGGGATGGACTGGGAAGGACAGAAGCAGAGAGAGTCAGGAGATGATGGGCCCCTGTTAGGAGAGGGTGACAGAGGCCAGGCCATGCAGAACCTTGCAGACAAAAGCTGGTTCACAGTCAGTTCTGAGTGCTTAGGAGAGTTGAGGATGGATGTTCAGGAGTGACATGCAATGATGTGATTTACATGCCAGCATGATGAACTGGCTGTAGGGTTAGAGCGCATGAGTTAGATGGGGACAGTAATGGGAAACATGGAGGTATCACAGGAGCTCAGTAGTGATCATGGCAGAGTGGAATAGAAGGAGAGAGAGAGATGTCTGGGTTCAGAAAATTTTTACAGTATTTAGAGAAGAGAAGAAAAAGAAAGGTAGAAAAAAAAGAATGATAGGGGTCGGGGGCGGTGGCTCGTGCCTATAATCCCAGCACTTTGGGAGGCTGAGGTGGGTGGATCACCTGAGGTGAGGAGTTCGAGACCAGCCTGGCCAACATGACGAAACCCCATCTCTACTAAAATTACAAAACTTAACTGGGTGTGGTGGCTGGTGCTTGTAATCCCAGCTACTTGGGAGGCTGCGGCAGGAGAATTACTTGAATCCAGGAGACTGAGGTTTCAGTGAGCCAAGATCGCACCACTGGACTCCAGCCTGACCGGGAAGAGCAAAACTCCATCTCAAGAAAAAAATGATAGGGATTCACCAATACGGACAAGAAATTTAAAAAAAAAAATTGTGGAAAATGGAAATGCTAGAAGGTTTTCATGAAGAAGCGAGTGAACAACTGTCAAATGCTGCTGAGAAATTAATGGCAATGTCAGCTGAAACCGTTGACCTTGACAAGGACAGTTTCTCTGGAGGGGATGAGGCAGGAGGCTGACTGCACCGGATACAGCATGAAGAGGAGGTGAGGACAGGCTTACTTACTCTTTTCTTTGGACATGGCAGAGCCTGCAGTAAGGCTGTCTCCTGCTCCTTGTTTCCTTGCCAACAGGGCCATCTTCTGCCTTTTCTGATATGAAGGACTGTCACATTCCCTGGGACGTTTAAACACGGTTTCAGGATCTACAGCCACCTTCTCTGTTTCATCGGTCATTGTTTCCTGAAAAACATCAATGAACATATTCCATTCATGACAAAAATCTAACAATCACAAAATGGCAAACTGTCTTCATATGTGTATACAACCAAGACTTTGAATCATTAATTTCACTTTTAATCATGAGCCAAGATTTACCAAGTCTCACCAAACACTCTGTTCTCAGGAAAAGAAACCTAATTTTAATGTACACTAAGTAAAAAAAGAAGAAAGATGGTATAACCAAATCAGTCAGAATGCTTGTGGAATAAGCAGCTGTCATCAACCAAAAACAGATGAAAATATTATTACCTATTTGAAGATGTGTAAGCCAATCTGTATTAACCCTTATTAGGAAAAATAGATGTATAAAGCCATCTGTATTAACCCTTACTATACATTATGTTTTAAATTATATATATTATACATTATATTATACATCATATATATTTAATATATAAGTATTTATACTTATATATTCAAATAGATGTATAAACCAATCTGTATTAACCCTTATTAGGAACTCTTATTAGAAGACTGATAAAAAACTGATAACAACATCTGACAAGGACTTTAAAAGAAAGAAAAACTACAAGATCAAGGCAAAAATACAAGCCAAGATCACCCCTGAACTTAGACACAAAAATTCCAAATTAAAGGTGAGCAAATAAAATGCAATAGTACTTAAAAAGGACATACATCAGCCATGGTGGAGTATATTGCAGAAAGACAACATTGATTTAACATTTGAAAATCAATAAATGTAATGCACCACATTAACAACGATGACAACAAAAACAGGGAAACAACCACATGATCATTTTCATACATGGGTCAATGTTTAAAGTCCATTCGTGATAAAAACTATCACCAACTTAGAAAAAAGGGCAACTTTCCTATTCTGGTTAGCATATGTACAAAAAAATTGTAAATGTCATATTTCATAGTGACGTATCAGTATTTTCTCCCTGAGTGTGAAAACAAGACAAAGATGTCCACTATCCATTCAACAATTTACTGGAGGTTCTAAAAGAGCAGTAGCATCAGGAAAATATAATAGGTTTAAAATTTGGAAAGAAATAAAACTGTGAATATTCACAGATGACATTGTTCTGTACATAGAAAATGCAGAAGAATAAAATCATTATGTTTAATAAGCAAATTTAGTCAACTTACTAGATATAATAAAAACCAACGGCATTTCCGTATAATTAATAGCAACAAAAAATTAGAATATGAGATTTCAAATGTCATTAAAAACAGTACCAAAACATCAAATATTTAAGAATAAATCTAACCCAGATGCGCTAGAGTACTACACAAAAATTATAAAACATCACTCAGAGAAATTCAAGACTGCAGTAGATGGAGAAAAATATTCTTTCCATGCATTGGAAGACTTTTTTTTCTTTTTTTTGGTGACGGAGCCTCGCTCTGTCGCCCAGGCTGGAGTGGAATGGCACCGTCTCTGCTCACTGCAAACTCTACCTCCTGGGTTCAAGCGATTCTCCTGCTTCAGCCTCCCAAGTAGCTGAGATTACAGGCGCCTGCCATGACGCCTGGCTAATTTTTGTATTTTTAGTACAGACGGGGTTTCGCTATGTTAGCCATACTGGTCTCGAACTCCTGACCTCAACTGATCCATTCGACTCGGCCTCGCAAAGTGCTGGGATTACAGGCGTGAGCCACCGCCCCCAGCCGGAAGACATTATTAAGAGACATTATTGTCAAGTCTCTCAGAATGATCATAGCAATCATATTTAAAATTCCACCATGTTAACAAAAGTTTTTCTGGACTTTTTCTGGACAATTGGACGAGCAGATCATTTTTTAAGCTTACATGCAAAGTTAAAGATTTGGAAAAGCCCAGAAGTTTTTCTTAAGTCAAGGAAGACGAACAATTTTTTTAGAGAAGAAAGAACTGGCTATCGGTGGCAGTGGCTTCATTGCCGTTGTAATCCCGCGGTTTGAGGCGAGAGGGGCGGATCACAATGCGGTCAGGAGATCGCTGGCTACATGATGAAAACCCGTATTCCCTGAGAATACGAACACATTAGCTTGGGCATGGTGGCGGGCACCTATGAGTCCCTACTTACTAGGAGGGCTGGGCAGATAGAGAATGGCCATGAACACAGGGAGGCAAGGCTTGCCGGTCGAGCCGAGCTTCCGCCATGTACTCCGCGCCTCGGGCGATACAGGGCCGAGACTCTGTCTAAACAAACAAACAACAACAACAAAACACAACAAGAAGACACCTACAG